TTTAAGCCATGTTTTCATTTATTTATTTTCAAGGTTTTTAGCTTGGATGCTTATTTTTTAAGCCATGTTTTCATTTATCTCAGTATTAAATGATTATAATCCTTTATAATACACTGCTTTACAATATGTTGATGCGTCACATTGCGCAGCCCTTTGGCGATTTCGACGGCAACTTGAGCCAGCAGATAGTTGGCAATATTATCTCAAGGCGTCTAAGCAGATAGATAATTTAATGTATTAGATTGTGCTTTGGATATGTTAAATGACGAAATGATAAGTTAAAACTGTGTCAGTAATGTTAAACACAAAACTTGCCCTTTCAGTTATTATATCTTTAAAAAAAATTAAATTTACCAACAGTTACTTGCAGACAGACCTTGTTTTTTAAACGCGCTAAAATGCAGTGACATTGACAAGTACAGTTTTTTTTTCCACAGTTTCGTTTCGCTTATGGAGTGTAGAGTAGAAGGAGGACCATCTCTGTACATGAAAAGTGTCCCTAAAAACGCGTCCAATAAGGGTGGCACTGTAGTAGCATAGGATACATTTAAAAAATAGCGCCAAAATTAATTAGAATAAGATGGAGAAATAAACAAGGACCGACCAATCCACTTAGTTTTGTACTACGTAAATAGTTGAGGTTTTGTATACTGGCATTTTACTAACTACTCTAGTCATGAAATTTTTTAAATATTTGAGTTCAGTTGACTTCACTCCGTCTACAACAGCTATCTTCATATGGTAGTTTTTCAGATGCCAGCGCTATTGTGATAGATTTTGGAACCTCTATTTTCAGTATATAGTGGGACACTTTTTCAACTTTCACACTTTATAAGATGGTTCTCCTTCTACTCTACACTCCATAGTTTCACTCCACAGTTCACACCACAGAGTAACTAGTAGATTATACTTAGTCTAGTTACGCCCTAGTAACTCGACTCCACCGAGTCAGTAATTCATTCTTGTGGCGATGTATAAGCTTTTACAACTGGAATTTTTAAATTTACGAAATTTGACCTGCTCAAAGTTTAACTTTATTAAACTAAGTTTGTATAAAAAGGGTTATTATAATATTAAGGAATTTATGGATGACAATAACCCCTAGGAATGAGGTGATCACTACCATACTATTTCTAATTTGTTGTGTAGTTAATTGTGTACATGATTGTAACCAGAAGGGAGTTAGCGTAGAACATTATTTTCTTTAAGTAAACTATATGCCAATTAATTGCTTCTTAAATGCTCCAGCATAATCGGAAATTGCTCCACCTCTAATGCTATTAGTTCATTTATAATTAAGTTTTAAAAAATTTAAGTATCGAAAATTAAATTTTGCTATAAAACATAATATATCTACTTTAAAAAAAAAAGACTGTATGCCAATTAATTGTTCCTTAAATGCTCCAACAGAATCCGAAATTGCTCCACCTCTATTGTTATTACTTAATTTATAATTAATTAAAAAAAATAATTCTATAAAATTTAACTATAGTTGAAAGTGTACTTGGCGCGATGCTTTACAGTGGAAACTGTTTTTGATCGGATTCGAATATGTTGTGTTTGTACAGCGGTCTTTTTCTGCATGAACCGCTGCAATCAGGGGATCCACTCACGACGGCGACCGAGCGCGGACTAGGCTAGTGCAAAAAATATCGATATATCGATATTTTTAAATAAAAATATCGACATATATCATCGATATATTAAATCGCGATATATCGACATATCGATATTTATTTTAGAGTATCGAATTCGTATCAATTTCGATATATTTTAAAATATTGTATCGTTTTTTTCGTATCCAACCGTCAGTAGATAAAATTTTAGACCTTATCTTTACACTATTCGATTGATGACGATATATCGATATATTGATATTTATCACACGATATATATCTATAATGTTTAAAAATATAGATTCGATATATATCGATATATTTTTTCCCTTTGCCCATCCCTAGCGCGGACTGAGGTTTCATCGAAATTTTTGTACAAATCAAAACAGGCACCAAAAAAATAAAATAACCCTTATTGCAATCGATTAAGATTCATCCGTATTAGCAAAATATGTGAAAAAATAACCATCACTTTTTTTACGACTATTTGTGACATTTTGATAAAAAGTAAATACTATTATTTTTTATTGTATATGTCTGCGTACTTATAGTATTTTTAGAAATCTTAGTATATTGATAATAGAACAAAAAATGTACCTAAACTCGAGCCAGTATCGTTAATTTTGTAGAAAATGGCTAGGGAAGATCGTTTTTACAATACAAAAACTATTATTTTCAACAAAAATGTCACTACCATTTGAAGATGAAGAACGAGTCTATACGGGGTAGTTATTAGTTATATCTGATTTGGTTTAGTTTTGTCACAAAATGAACCGAAAAACAGCATAATTTTGCACGATTTGTAAAAGCGTCCTTAAATTACACGGACATGAACTCTACTTCGGGGAGCGACTACGAGAATTCGACCGACGACATCTGCGATTATTAAGAACCTCACCGAAGAAGCTTAGTGATTTTGGATGACGTAATTATATACTTGCTGAGTGTGTGGAAGAACACATCCATATTTCATCTTAAGGTTGCTGCATACGTAAGGCCTTATACAGAAAGAAAGCTGGTAGCCGGCGCCGATTACCAGCGCTTATCGGCGCTGGTCTATTCTGCTAACAGTTACATAAAGCAAGCCGACTGAAGCAGAGCGAGCAAAGTTGTCGTATAGTGTTCATTTATTTTAAATGGCGAGCGACGCTAGCACTGACCGGTGCGTGTCGAAGATTGTCGGAACTTGTCGGCAACGTTCGGCGCTTATCGGTGCCTGTTCATATAAATGCCTGCGCTGGTTACCTGCGTGGACCGGTCCCTATAAGCGCTGATAGGCTGCAAGCTGTCTTTCTGTATACGGCCTTACGTTTTATTCCGGACGTGGCGGGACGTCAAATTTTGGAAATATCGTTCCATAGAAAATGTACGTGAAAATGCATACGTTACGGGTGCGCAGACGGAACGGGGACGTGGCGTAAACGGAACGAGAAAAATATCGTCGGCGACGAGTCTACCCCCAACCCCTGCCCCGCCAACTCTTCAAACGAAACATCCACCTTTCACAACACTAGCACGTTAGCTTCGAGTCGCTCACGTTGCGTACGCATTAAGCTTCCGTCCGTGTGGAGATACAACCACGTTCCGGTTTCGTCCCGTGCACGTGCTGATTCCGTCCTGTATGCAGCGACCTTTAATCTACAATTTTACTCACTCCGCACGTAACAATTCTGACTGTACAATATGGTACACAGAAATGAAACTTCGAAGGAGTCTCAGTAATCTATTTTAATGTACTATTTAACTTGTACACAATTATCTTAAAAATATTAAATAGGACGTGCTAACAGATTAAGAGGCGAGAAGGTAAAGGTTCATTGAATAATTCAATTGAACAGTCGTTGGCTATTGCCAGTGTTACGTATGTAAACGTAACGATATGCCATTGGTAGAAGTACAAATAGATTTATTACAAAGAAATATGGACCTTAAACGTAAACGATTACGGTGCAACTTAGTACTGTTACTTAGCCTAACAAATCAAACGCACCTAAACGTAACACATAATAATTGCTATACGAGTTACATTACATCTACTTAAATAATAAATACTTAAAACGCTAAGACGAAAGCTGCGCGAACACTCACCTATCGCGACTTAATCGATCTTTATCGCGCGTTTCCGCCACGGCTTCTTCAAATGAACGTATGTAAAGTCATTATATACTTGCCGAGTGGGTGGAAGGATACATACATATCGTAACACTACTGACCTGTTGCGACTTCGTAGACTCCTTTCTCGAGCGTTTCGGCCACGGCTTCTTTAAATGAACGTATGTGAAGTGGAGCCGCTTCTTATGAAGATCCTTAACTAATTTCTCGCACACCTCACACTTGAATGGTTTCAAGCCGGTGTGGATCTGAGATATTCGTTGAATTTTTAAATAGAATAAGGGGGACATACGAGCACACAGTCCACCTGATGGTAAGTGAATGCTGTGGCCCATTGACAAATATTAAAAATCCTTATCCTCAATTAAGAAATGAAATGCGGATGCAATGTCACCGTGAGGACTGAGAAGGAATGACTCGTTACCAGTAAAAAGGGTCTCCAGTTCTCTACACTCACCATACGAAAGACTATTTTCTCACGAAAGCTGCTATTTTATGCTGGTATTCTGTGAGAACGTGGTCCTACTCCGGTCGAACCGATTCATTCGTGTTACAACCACAATATAGCTGCAGCGTGGCTCTACCACGTACAGACAGACACCACCACCCAGCACCATAATGTGATATAGTTATGGTACTGTGTGGTGATGGTGTAAGACAATCCACTACCCATATCGTGCCGTGGGTGTCGTAAGAGGCGACAGAGGGAAACAAACTACAAGATGGGCAGCCGCGTCTCCCTGATTACAAGTGAAAATAATAAAAAACCGCGGTTGCCAACCCACCTGCATGGGGCAACTAAGGCAAATATGACGCAAGCCACGGGGGAAGCCTATGTTCAACAGAGTAGTTTTAAAGGCTGTATCGGTGACGATAAACGTCGAAGTGAAAAAAAGAAAAACGTAAACTATCATTTAAATTTAAAAAAAAGATGAAGGTCTAGTCCGTTTCCACTAACCTCCATTCACGCAACGGTATTTATTTTAAGGTTCCAATATTTTTTGATTTCTACCGACTTCAAAAAGGAGGAGGTACTCAATTCGACTGTATGTTCTTTCTTATGTTTGTTACCTCATAACTTTTTTCTGCATGAACCGATCTCGATAACTCTTTTTTTTATTTGAAAGCTGGTGCTTCACATGTGATTCCATATAAATTTGATCAAGGTCTGACCAATAGTTTTTGAATTATTCTTAATAATTTATATTGAATTCGGTTGTACAAAATTCTAAATTAGGTATTGAGTTAATTTCTTCAGAATAAATGCAATTTCAAGTTGCACATAAGGCACGGAAACGTTTTTCTACTCGTTATATAATTACATCACAAAACATAGATTTTTATCAGGTAAACACATATTTATATAAAACACGTTTACACAATATTGTACATATTTTCCCACATAGCTCACGGAAACGGTTTTGCTCCAGTGTGTATTTTCATATGTGTTTGCAAACTACTTTTTGTAATACATCTACATTCACAGATATTACACGAAAAAGGTTTTTCACCGGTGTGTACTTTCATATGTGTTTGCAAACTACTTTTTGTAATACATCTATATTCACAGATATTACACGAAAAAGGTTTTTCACCGGTGTGTGTTTTCATGTCTTTGCAAACTACTTTTTGTACTACATCTATATTCACATACATTACACGAAAAAGGTTTTTCACCTGTGTGTATTTTCATATGTCTTTGCAACATACTTGTTCTAATACATCTATATTCACAGATATTACACGAAAAAGGTTTTTCACCGGTGTGTGTTTTCATATGTATTCGCAAAGTACTTTTTGTAATACATCTATATTCACATACATTACACGAAAAAGGTTTTTCACCTGTGTGTATTTTCATATGTATTTGCAAACTACTTTTTGTAATACATCTACATTCACAGATATTACACGAAAAAGGTTTTTCACCGGTGTGTATTTTCATATGTGTTTGCAACATACTTTTTCTAATACATCTATATTCACAGATATTACACGAAAAAGGTTTTTCACCGGTGTGTGTTTTCATATGTATTCGCAAAGTACTTTTTGTAATACATCTATATTCACATACATTACACGAAAAAGGTTTTTCACCTGTGTGTATTTTCATATGTCTTTGCAACATACTTTTTCTAATACATCTATATTCACAGATATTACACGAAAAAGGTTTTTCACCGGTGTGTGTTTTCATATGTATTCGCAAAGTACTTTTTAAAATACATCTATATTCACAGATATTACACGAAAAAGGTTTTTCACCGGTGTGTATTTTCATATGTATTTGCAAACAACTTTTTGTAATACATCTATATTCACATACATTACACGAAAAAGGTTTTTCACCGGTGTGTATTTTCATATGTCTTTGGAAATTACTTTTTAAAATGCATCTATATTCACAGATATTACACGAAAAATATTTTTCTCCGGTATGTATTCTCATATGTGTTTGCAATTGAAATTTTGTAATAAATCTATATTCACATACATTACACGAAAAAGGTTTTTCACCGGTGTGTCTTTGTATATGTTCTTGCAAACAACTTTTTGTAATACATCTATATTCACAGATATTACACGAAAAAGGTTTTTCTCCGGTGTGTATTTTCATATGTCTTTGCAAAGAACTTTTTATAATACATCTATATTCACAGATATTACACGAAAAAGATTTTTCTCCGGTATGTATTCTCATATGTGTTTGCAATTGAAATTTTGTAAAAGTTCTGTATTCACATACATTACACGAAAAAGGTTTTTCACCAGTGTGTCTTTTCATATGTTCTTGCAAACGACTTTTTGTAATACATCTATATTCACAGATATTACACGAAAAAGGTTTTTCTCCGGTGTGTATTTTCATATGTCTTTGCAAACAAGTTTTTGTAATACATTTATATTCACAATTATTACAACAGTACATTTGTTTAGCGACGTGCGCTTTAAGATGTGACAAAATGCAACGTTTTTGAAATGTTTTAAATTCGCAAACATCACAATTAAATATTTCTGTTTGTTGTGGCACTGGAGTTAGTTCTACTTGTGTCCGAACTGCAGTGGTGTCTGAGTTCTTTTGCGTCTTATGACTGTATGAAATGTGTTTGGCGAGAATGTCTTTTGTTGGAAATTTTTTACTACAACCATCACATTCAAAAATGTATTTAATTGATGTCCCAGATGTCTTTTTCTGAAGTATATTTACACTCTTTTGTTTTAAAATTTTCTTTTTCATTATTTTTGCAGGATGCTTTTCTTTTTTATTAATTGATTGATTATCTTTTTTCATTTTAGGGTTTGATTTAATAGTAGGGCCTTCAAAATCGAGGTTTTCTTCACGAACATCGTTTATGTTACAATCAGTAGAATTTGATTTAATCTTCTTCTCAGAAGTTTCTGAAAAATGATTTGTCGAAGTTAAACTTTTTATTTATTGTAAGTTATTGCATCTTTATTGCAAGACACCTTAAACGGTCTACAATGATCGGAGTTTAAGCCTTATGGCATTCTCTATCGGTTAACTCATGCAAAAATAGAGAAATTATAATATTTTACATAATTATACAAAATAATGTTGCTAGATATAAAGTATTTTAGCCCATTACTCCGAATAATGTTTCTCATTTTCTTTTTTGGTGGGAAAGAATGGTTCTTCTGTCCATGTTATAATTACATTAATCGAATAATCGCTGTACACAAGCAATACACACAGTACAGTCGAAGTTGGCGTGTATGTGAGGGATAAGAGAATTCATCATTACATGTTGTCCCGTGGGTTTCGTAAGAGGCGACTTTGGGTTAGCCAGAAAAATCTGATGGCTTCCGGCAGATGGCGGTATAACCAGCTCGTTTATTTCAGATGTAAAATATCGAGACCGGCGCCGGGCGACATTGCCAGAGGTGCTCACGTCTGGTTCTGCGATCGTCAGTCCTATGCTCCTATCCTCCGTACATCGGGGGAGATCCTTCCATGTTCAGCAGTGGAAGTTTACGGGAAGATTAAGATAGAGGAATTTTTTGTAGGCCATACATAGGCTGCACTAAAAGTATCGGGAATGGAATATTTCCACTGTTCCTGTCATATTAAAACCTTTTTAATTGAAAACTCCTTGGTTTTAAAAATCGAATACCATTTATTTATTTAAAAAAAGATTCTCGGTCTTGTCACAAGGTTTTGCCAAACTTGTTTAGTCGTTGAGAAAATGGAATTGACTCGAGAAAATTCAAGAGCGATGATTTATTATGACTTTCGAAGTGGTTTAACACAAAAACAGTGTGTTGACCGGATGATTTCTGCATATGGTGATGAAGCCCCATCCAAAACCACAATTTATCGCTGGTTTGCTGAATTTCAACGTGGACGTGTCAAGCTCAGAGATGATCCCCGTCAAGGTCGTCCAAAAACTGCAGTCACCCAAGAAAGCGTTGATGCTGTGCGTAACCTGATTGAGGAAGATCGACATGTGACATACCGCGAAATTCAGGCAACTTTGGACATTGGCATGAGTCAAATACAAATAATCTTGCATGAACAATTAGGTGTAAAAAAGTTGTTTTCCCGATGGATACTGCATTCGCTCTGTGAAAAGCAAAAAGCGGCTCGCGTTACTTGGTGCGTTAGAACTCTCGAAAGATCCACGCAGGATCCTCAAATGCTGTATACAACATCGTATCAGGTGACGAATCCTGGATGTACACGTACGAACCCGAAACAAAAAACCAGTCACGAGTTTGGGTGTTCGAAAATGAGTTAAAGCCAACAAAAATTGTTCGTTCACGGAGTGTTGCAAAAAAAATGGTGGCCACGTTTGTCTCCAAAACCGGCCATGTTACGACTATTCCTCTTGAGGGACAAAGAACGGTTAATGCAGAATAATATGCTAGCATTTGTTTGCCACAGGTCGTTTCTGAACTCCGTAAAGAGAACTGCAACCGCCGCATCATCCTCCATCACGACAATGCGAGTTCTCACAGCGCACACAGAACAAAAGAGTTTATAGAGCAAGAAAACATAGAATTATTAGTAGTGACCGACCGAAGATTCGGTTTCGGTTTCGGCAAAAATCTAGTTTCGGTTTCGGCAAAAAATCTGCCGAACCTTCAGCGGCGCCGAAACTCAGTGTTCGTGGATTATCGTGCGTCGTTCGGATGAGTTCGTGACTGGGTGACTGGTATTATTCATAATTATACAGAAACAGAAACTTTGTTATTCAATATAGATTATAAATAATGCTTATTGAAAGTCACTCTTTTGTTTAATTACCATTGGATCGAAAAAAACCCTTGTCCTTCGAAGAACCAGCAACAAACCCAGCGGGACTTTTTTTTTAAATAACAGCTTACAATCAGAGGCGTAGCCTGGACTAATATAAATGTGCGCGAAGTTGCATCAGCGAGGCCCCTTTTCTTTCGTTCCATGTGTCTACCGAATAGATCTATCCCACCTAACATGCATTGACACGACATACGAGGGCGACACTGAAAGTTTTTAGAACTGGCCATTTGTAAACGATATAATAAAAAAATAAGTTCAAATTTTGAAAATGGAACTCTTTGCCAATATTATTGTAGGGGGAAGTGGGGCAGATTGATGCATAAAAATTTAAATTCACTTTTAAGTGCTTAAATAACGTTAAAATTTATATTTGTTATATTTTCTGCATTGCTATATCTATAAATATAATAAAAGTAATCAAAAGAAACTGTCTAATTAATGCATAAAACAAATATAAAACTTTTAATAAAAAAAGAGATTAGTATCATTGTACCCCACCTACGGGGCACTTAGATACACTGCATGGGGCACTTTGATACAAACTAAAAGTTTTATTGAAATATTATTAATTTGAAACTCTAATATGCTACTAATACTTTTATTGTTCAGAGATCACAATCAGTCTTACAGTTATACGAATAAAGTATATTTCTTATTCTAACACGTCATCTTTAATCATATTATATCTTTTTCATAGAAACTTTCTATAATTAAACAGAAAAATACTTTTAGTTTTCTTTTGATATAAATCAATCTAAATAAAAAAAAACACCAAACGTAACAACAACAACAACAACAACACATTTTAAATTTCTCTACTGCACCTTGCTACCTCGTAGGTAGGTACTTAAATTAACTGAAAAGTATAGTGAGATGATGTTCAACATGCGCCTTTATTAAAATTTGGTTTGAGGCAGATGTAAAACTACATCTCGGAAATCGACGCCAGCTTGGTCTTCTATATTCGGAAAAACAAAAACGCATGATCCTAGTTTCTTTCTGAGGTAGGACACTTGGTATTCGGTCGATATGTATTTGAACAAGACTTTGGTCACGTAATAGACTGTAGATTTCTTCTTATCAAATTTAATATGCAAGAAATCTCCAATGTTTATATTTTCGGGATCGGGGGTATAACTATGTTCTTATATATATAACTAACTTACACGTGCGACATCAAACAGGGTGGACGTGTTATCGGTTGTAATTACAAAAATAATAAAATACGCTTACACGAACTTGATTCTTAAGTTAATTAAGTGCATAAAGTAAATCGGCATACACTGCCCTACGCTATTGTGACATTACATTGTTGGGTACGCCGCGAGTGAATATACGTGCCACGGATCAATATGATGCCAATACGCTCACCTACTAGAAGCGGTATAGGCTCTGGACTTAGTGGTTCACAACCTAATTTATTTACGGGAGATTCAGCCACAGACGTTTCTACGGCAACGCAAGTTGCATTTCGTAGCAAGCGGAAACATACTAGTGACCAGGATATTAAAGATGAACTGAGCGAAATACGAAAGGGAATGGCAGAAATGATGCAAATTTTAACATCGATTAACAAGAATCAAACGGAAACTATAAACAAGATATCGGAAGATGTCAGTTTACTAAAGGAACATGTAAAAGATCTTAAGACCGAGATGGATAGTCTTCGATTCGAAAATGAAAAAATGAAGCGTAACATAGATAACTTGATCAGTAAATACAATGAAAATGACAAACAAATGGGAAAGTTAGACTCTGAAATTAAAAACCTCCAAAGTACAAAACTAATAGCTCCAGTTACCACAACAACTATTAGTAACACAATAGAAGAAACTGTAATGTCAGAACTTTCCGATCGATTGGTTAGAAGCAAAAACATAATAATAACTGAATTAATGGAAACAAAAACATCTGATTACAAAGAAAGAAAAGAGACTGAAAAGAGAGAAGTACTTAGTTTATTAAGAAAGATCTCCAATGATTGTACGGAACCAAAAAGTATTACACGCCTGGGAAAGTATGCGCCAGATAAACAAAGGCCACTCAAAGTGTGTTTCTCAACATCAGAAGAAGCTGTTTTTGTATTACGTTCTAAAAGTAATGAAAAACTGAATCCCATTAAAATTTTCCCAGATCAAACGCCTCGACAACAATCTTTTTACAAAAAACTAAAAGAAGAGTTGAAATATCGAAAGGACAATGGAGAGATAAACCTAACTATCAAATACAATAAAGGTATACCTAAAATAGTTGAAATTGCGCCAAAAAACGAACAAAATTTTATAATAGTCAAATCCCAACCTTTAAAACTATCTCTCACCAACTAGCTTCTCAGTATGAGAATATTATAATGACAAAAGACTCCTTAAAATGTTTTTATATCAATGCACGCAGTATAGTTAAAGCAGGCAAATTTGAAGAGCTTAAATGTATTTTAAAATCTTTTCAATTTACGATACATTTAATTTTAATTACGGAAACTTGGATAAAGTGTGAAGAGGAAGCTAAACGATTTCAAATATGTGGTTATACTCATTACTATAACGTAAGACCCAGTAGCAGAGGTGGTGGAGTATCAATCTTCGCTCACAACAACTTGAAACATAATCTTATAGAAGAACAATGTCTTGATGATAATCATTATCTATGGATTCACTTTGACAAGTATTCGCTGGATGTGGGTGTAATCTACAGAAAGCCCGACAACAGCAATATTAATAAATTCATAGAAACATACTCAACAAAATTAGAATCGCGCAGAAGGGCAGTGGTATTTGGTGACTACAATATAGATCTATTATCCCATGAACGTACAACTTCTATGTATATGGAAATGCTGGAACAGTGTGGCTACAAATTGTTAAATAAAATTGATTCAAAATATTCTACCCGTGTAACTCCTTCTTCGAATACTGTCATTGATCATGTTAGCACGAGTCTCAAAGAACATCAATTTCACCTTGCTATAATAGAATCATCTATGTCTGATCATAGACAGATCTATTTTGAGATCAAGAAGTATAAGCAAGATGTTTTATCAAAATATGAATATAAAGCAATAAACTACACCAAATTGTATAATACAATAACTGGAAACAATAATAATCATGATTATGTAAAA